TTAGAAAAATTATAAAATATAATATAGAACTAAAAATAAATATATACTAATATAGGAAAAAAATAAATTCTATTACACTATCATTTTTTATTTTTTGATATATTAGAATTTTTTAGTACATACATTACGTATGTTCATGAAGCAAATTGTTATTTATAGGGCTGAATTAGATAAGTATAAAACATTAGTGCATTATCTAAAATCGGCTAAGCTATCATTTTATGGGATTTTTAAATTTTTGATTGGTAATAGTGTAGGAAATAATGACAGTTTAATGTCGTACATATATAGGACGAATCAGCAAACATTTCAAGATTATTACTATTGCTCCTATGGAATTGGCGTAACAGATTTGATTTCCCTGCATATATAGAATAAATTGGTAAGCATCCCAAGATTATTTTATTATTCTATGGAATTAGTATAAGAATAACGGTTTAATTTCTTGCTTGCACGTATATATATAGAATCAGTTGGTAATTATGAAACTAGAGTGGGAAAGAATAATGGATAGTTTAGATTTCTTGCACCGTACGTATATATATAGAATTGTCTAAATCACTTCAAAGTTTCTAACGTCCAAATTTCACTTATAAATGCTTACTAGTTGGTCTGCAAAAAGCCAAATTATATCTTAATAACTACACAAAACCAAATTGTATATCATAAGTACTATTACATAGTTATTATTATGATTTATCATGTTTATTGCGAACAAGTAATTAACTATTATTTTTATTCGATAGAATGATGATGTCAGATATTTAGATAATATGGTGTTAGAGTCTGAGGATAATTATTTGTATGAGCCTGAGGATGTTGATTTGAATGAGCCTGAGAATTCTGATTTGGATGAGCCTGGTGGTGTTGATTTGGATGGGTTCGAATCTGACAATACGGATAGTAATGATAATAATGAAGATTAATTTCAGTCCTTTACATTATCACATACTGGTAGGCAATTGTTAGTCAAAAAAAAAATTGAAAAACCAAGTGGCAGTCCTGTTTATGAATTTTACTGAAAGGTGATTAAACGAACGTGAAACACTTCTGGGTCTAAATAAATCCAAGGAAGAATATAACATTTAAAACAACATTAAAAAATAATAATAAAACATATACAGTTTAAATATATCGAACCAACCTAATGCGTTTGCATTAAGAACAAGAAGAGAAACAGACAAATTACCTAAAGATTTAAATAAACTATTAGAATGAACATTGCAGTGCAAACATTATTTTAGAAAAATTGTCAAATACTTATCATTAAATAAATAAAGTATACTTGAATTTTAAATAAATAAATCGAGAATAAATAAATCAAGTTAGCAAGAATGTGTTCTTGGGAAGATACTGAAATAAAAAAAAAGGGTATTTATATCAATACTGATGTATAAATTGCGCAATTTAAAAAATTTACCTATTTTGAATCTTGACCCGTTTGACCCGAGTAACTAGATATAACCTCTAAGAGAGATGTAATTATATAAGATCGCATTATTTGATTCGATAAATATAATATAATCAATTAATGATTGGTCTAATGATTGATCGATTATATATACTCGAGGTTATAAATTATATTCTTAATCGATCATATTCGATCAAGTATATATAATTGATGTTTGATCGATTAAAAAAAAATTTTTTTGGTCAATTATCGATCAACAGTTTTTTTGTCAAGTCAATACCTTATCCTAACCCAATCATTAGTAATAGTTGCCATAATACGAATATTACATAAGTGATTATCCAAATTTTCACTGTCGATGGGATTTGAACACCCAACCTATCACTTGGAGGGTTGACAACCTGACCACTTCACTAGGCCACCACACCTCTTATATTCCTATTCTATATCTTTTGGTATTGGATAAACTTGTATTATTTTTCACTTTATTGAAATTTTTCCTATTTCTAAGCTTAAGTCTGCAAAGCTTCTAAAGATTTTTTGTGTTTTCATTTCTGCTTTTTTAATTAGTATATAGCTTATATTTAAGATACTTGAGGCTGTTCCTGTCTTAAACTCTCTTAGTGTTTCTTCCAAATCTTTTTTCTTAATTTTTTCTTTAAGTTCTGCATACCATTTCTCTCTAATGCTTTCTCTTAGTTTATATATCTCTTTTTACTTTTCTGTTATTGTTTCTAGTTTGGTGTTTCTTTTCCTAAACTGCAACTTATAATGTTTTGCTACATTTGTCTTAACTTCTTCTGGCTTTGTTATTAGATATGTTTCTTTTTTCACTTGCTTAATAAGCCTATCAAGCATTATCTTTTTATACAGCTTATTTAGAAAACTAGCAAGCATTTTTTCTTGATCTGTTTTGATCATTTTACATCTTTTATCTATATTTTCTTCTATTTGCCTTCTTTGCATTTGTTTTCAGTTCTTTTTCTTTCTTTCCTGTAAGATTTTCTGCCAACTTTTCATGTTTTCTATTTAGGTATGTGACTAATGCCTTTGTAGCTTTGGCATTTTTGCTTCTGTTTTGTTGCCTAGTATTTTTAATTGTTCATTTGTCTTGATTCTTTTCTTTTTTGTTACTTCTTAGTTCTTTCTTATCTTTACATATTTAATTAATCTTTACAGCTTTACAATATTTTTTTCTTGTTGTTGTACTTTCCAACTAGTTCTTCTATTTGCCATTGTATTGTATATTCTTTTTTTGTATATATGCTTATTTATTGCAGTAATAATTGCTTCTTCTATTATATCTCATATCTTGTTTATTTTATTTAACAGTTCCTTTTCATCTTGCACTTCTGTTTGAATGTCTTTTAGACTTTCTTTTACTGCTAGTTGCCTTTGTAATTCTTGTGCATAATTTTTCCAATCCTTTGGTTTTGCCTGATCATATAAATATAATGTTCTTGATTGTCCTTTCTTTTTAATTTCTGCTTTACTGTTTTTCTCTGTTATATGTTTAATCCATATTTTTGCAATTATTATTTTATGATCACTTTCTGTAATTTCTTCTGTTTCCTTAATGTTTGCCTTTTGCAAACCCAAGACCAGTTCTTCTGATACCTATATATAGTTAATTTTTGTTGCAGCTTTCTTGTTTGATCATGTGTACTTTTGGCTTATCAGATGCATATTTCTATATGTGTTTATGAAGTTTTGTTTTCTCATCTAATTGAAGATTGGTAGTCTTTTAAAATTTACTAATTGTGAATATTGTCTATCTATTATATTGTTTACTATATGATTAAAGTCACTCATAATCATGAATTGTGTTTGTCTTTTCTGTTTAGTAACTATTTCTACAATCTTTTGCTAAATATTCTTTCCTATCATCTTGTTACTTGATGGTATATAAATTTCTATCACCACTAACTCCAATTGCTTGAAGTATAGTGTGACCTCTATCATATATTCACTTATTCTTTTAATGGCACCTATATGTTTTTTCTATTGTTTTTCTATTAGAATTCCTATATCTGATTCTTTTTTCTTGTCTTCTGCTATATTTGTTTAATATTCTATATAATTTTTGTTTATTGCATATGTTAAGAACCTTTCTTCTCTTTTAGTAATATTTGTTTTTGTGATTTCTATTATTGTAATTTCTTTTTCTTCTGCCCAATCTAACAGGTTTTCAAGTTTCCAACCTTTGGTTTTCAAGCTATTAATATTATGACATGCTAATTTGACTTCTTTTCTTCTTTCTTTTTATTTTTTTTCAATTGTTCTTGTTTTGCTTCTGTATTTTCAGTTTTTTTGATTATCTTTCTTTTTCTTTTTTTTAGATAAGAAAATGCTTCTCTTTCTCTTCCTTCAAATACTTTCTTTTCATTTTGTAGAAAAGCTTCAATCTTCTCATCTGTATTCCTAAACTAAGATGCCCTTAGGAGTGATTAGCTGGATCTTTACTCATCTTTAGCTGCATTTCTTCTATTCTATCTAGTCTTTCCAATATTTGGCACAAAACATCTTTTACTGATAATATTCTTTTTTAATTTTGTATATTTATTTTGACCTTCTTTTTCATTACTATTGCTATTTCTTCTTTTATATTTGTGTTTTTATCTCCTAATCATTTTTCTATGTTTTGTAACTGAAAGTTACTTTTCATTTCTCCATATCTTTTAATTGCTGTTTCATGTTTTGTGTCTTGGAATCTTGATGTTTCTTGTCTTCTGTAGTTCAACTGTCTCTCCTTGCTTAACTTTGATCTTTCTTGTTTTCTGTCTCTTGACTTTTCTCTTTTGTGGATTTTTTTTCTTTTAGGGTTTTCCCAACTTACTCAATAGTTGTTATACCAGATTGGTGTTGTTTGCACTATCTCTGTCTTTTGAGTATTTGTGAAAGTTATTATTGCAAACTTTTTTTGATTTCCATTTCTGTTAAATAGTATGTATACTGTCTTTGCTCTCTTATTTCTTAGATATCTTAATAAAAGCACCTCTTATGCTTTTTTAGGAATGTCTAATAATTTTGCTATAAACTGGCTTTGTTTTTCTCATTGCATGTAGTTTTCATTTCCTTCTGTAACTTTTGCTAATTTATTGTTACCAAAAGGTAATGCCCATATGTTGTTTTTTTCTTCCCAATAATCTGCTATTATAACTGCTAATGCTTTATATTGTGATCTTTTAATTCATATTATGCACATATTTTTCATATTTTTGTACATATATTTCAGTTTCTTTTCATTAATGCCTGATAGTAGATTCCAGATTGTTAAGTATCTTGTTGTTTCTGCCTCTTTTAGTCTTTCTACTTGCAGTCTTTCAGCTTCTGTTTTAGCTTCATCTTGTTTTTCTATTTTGCTTTGATGTGTTTCTTTTGGTTTGGGCTCTTTCTGATTTGGATTTTCAGATCTTTTATTTTCTTTTTGTTGTTTATCCTTTATTCTATACTTGTCTATTACTTTGTCTTGTTCTTTTTTACTCTTTGCTTAGTTTTGTGTTTCATCTAAAATCAACTTGAACCAATCTTCACCTTTTTGATTTATCTGATTAATTGCTTTCTCTCTTTCTCTTTTGTAATCAAATGATACTTTGATCCAACTATTGCCTTTTACAAAAACTTCTTCAATGTTTGTAATATGTCTGTTTGCATTAAGCATCCATTTTACCATACCTGTTCTTTCTGATTTTGTTCAACCTGGAATATTATAAGCAGGAATTCTTGCTTTTACTAGTGTTTTATTGTTACATAGTCTGTTGTCTGATGCCCAAATGCTTTGCTTTAATGGCATTTCTGTTACATCTCCTTGAAGTATTATTAACTCTTCTTCTTTATTTATTTCTTTTTCTTCAACTTTTCTTAGGCTTGAGTTTTGGTATAGGGTCTTTTCATTTTTTTTTGCTTCTTTTATATCTTGTTCTTGTACTGTATATCTTTGTTTTTTACCTATTACTATCTATTTCTTACCTGCTTCATATACTTTGGATTTTTCTTCTAATTTTTTTTTCTTTATTTTCTTTTGTTTTAACTGTTTTTTCTGACTGGTCCATGTTTTTTGCTTCTCTTTCTCTTTGCTGTTGTGAGCTATCCTCTATTTTAAAGCTAAAATCTATCAATTTACTTCTTTTGTCTACCTATATGATAACTTTACTTAATATTCTTACTGTTGCTATGTCTGCTACATCTGTTGCAAACAATAATGCTGTATATCTGTCTATTCTTGTTTTTATAATGTCTGTTGTTTCTAGTGTCTTAACTAGCTCTGCATTGTTAACTCTTTGCAAGCTTTATGCTATTGATCTTTTTAGCACCTTTTCTAATAAGCTTCTGGGTCTTACTTCATATATATTTCCTCCTATACTGATTGTTGTCATTTTGTTCATCAGTTGGTTTAGTGTAACTATTTCTATATTATGTGTTTGCTTTGATAAACTATTTTTGTATATATGTTTGTTTGTTTACTTTCTTTGTTTTGTTGTACTTTTCATATAACCTAATTGATTTGCACACTTT